TGGGCTTTCCTTTATAAGTGATCTGTTTCTTTTCTCTAACAGCTTTTAATATTCTCATCTTAGTTTCTGGGATCTTGATCACTATATGTCTGGGTAGATTTAGCTTCGTTGTGATTAACTGGAGTTTTATATGCTTAATTAACTGTATGTCTGATTCTTTTCTACACCTGGGAAATTTTCTGCTATTATTTCTGCAAATAGTCTTTTTATGTCACTTGTATTGACACCTGATGTTTCACTGATACCTATTAATCTGACATTGTTTTTCTTTGGTTCATCTTGCAGGTGTTGAATTGTTACTTCCTGGTTCCTTGTTGTTTTTAAGAGATCCCTCCTTTCATGTTCGTTAGTGGCAGTGATGCCTTCAAAGTCTGAAAGTCTTATCTTCAGCTTTGTTCAGGCAGTTTTTCTTGCTTTCAATGGAATTTTTAATTTCCTGGATATCTATTTTAATCTGTTTCATACATTCTAGTTCTTTTCTATATTGTTCACTGAAGGTTTCCATGAGTTGTCTGTGCTCTTCTACTTTCTTTTTAATGTCAGCTTTGGATATGCTGAACAATTCTTTCATTATTGTTGTCATTTCTTTCTTTATCTGAGACATTATTTCTGCTCTGTGGTCTTCTATGGCCTGATGGAGTTGTTTCTTACTTCAGTTGCTATCATTTCAGAAATTTCAGGTGTATGACTTCCAGGCTCTTCTGTTTTGATGTCTCCTGGACTTGTTCTGGTTGGTGTGGATTGGTCTGGGATTTCATTTTGTTCCTTTGTTTTGTCATTTTTGAAGATCCAGAGGTTCCCTGGATCATAGCCTCAGTCTCTTGATTGTGTGTGAGTAGGAGGGCAAGTATCTGGAGATCTCCAGTGCTCAGTGCAGCACCTGTGCTAGTGTGTGGTGGTAAGGTGGGGTCCCTGATGCCCTGGAAACTTTCTTGCATTCAGTTGGCTCCCAGTTGTGTAGGGGAGGGGCAGAAGAGGCTCACTGGAGTTCCTGAAGCTGTCTGGGTTTCAGCCTGGCTTCCTTAAGAGTTGGGGGGATGCAGGTCGTGGTTACTGAGGCTTCAGATATTGCCCAGGACAGAGCCTGCTTCCTACACTGGCAAGGGAGGGATGAGGATGGACTCCCTGAGGCCACTGAATATTTCCAGGTTTCAGCTGGGCTGCCAGGGGAGTGCAGGTTGTTCTGAGAGTGATCATGGAGGTCCCAGAAGTTGTCCAGGGCTCCACATGCCTCACACACTAGTGGAGGAGGCATGGAAATGGCTCACTGGGGTTCCTATAAATGCCCGGGGTTTGGCCCAGCTCCCGCAGACATGATAGGGGTGTGGTTTGTGGCTATGGAGGCCCCAGAGAGTGCCTGGGGCTCTGCCTGCCTCATATGCTGGTCAGGGAGTCACAGTGGCAAATGACCGGGGTTCCTGATGAAGTCTGGGGTTCAGCCCAACACCAGCAGACACATTATAGGTGTGGCAAGTAGCCAGCAAGGCCCCAGAGGGTGCCCGGGTTTCTGCCTGCTTCACACACTGGTCAGGGAGGCACACCCAATATTTTTATTTTTATTGGTACATGTTTGGAGTACATAGTGATTGTATTCATTGTGGGGAGTCGGTACATGTAACACATCTCAATTGATACTGATCTCCTTAACTTTTATTTTATGAAAAAATGAAACAGAATTTTATAACAAAATACTAAGAGACTAGCAATAGCTAATATACTGTATCATTGTCTTAAAGTAGTTACTCAGAATACAAGACAAGACACAGATAAAAATTTTAAATGAAATAAATCAGACACACAAGCTTAACTATTGTATAGTTTCTCTTATATGAGAAACTAAGAAAAGGAATATATACATATATACATGTGTATATGTATGCATATGCATATATATTTACAAATAAAGACCAAAGTAGAAAATAATTAGGAAATAGGATAAGTTCAAATATTTCCCCTGATTATCTATTTTATTGTTTCAAAAATATCTTAATATATAATATATTTTGGAGAAGGAGTCTCAACTAGGTAGTTCAGGCCGTTTTTTAACTTCCTAAGTAGTCCAGGCTGTCCTCAAGCTTGCTGCAATCCTCCTTCCTCTGCCTCTGGAGGACTGGGATTACAGATGTGCCACCACAGCTGGCTCAAAATTTAATTTTTTTTGGAGACAGAGTCTTGCTATGTAGTTCAGGCTGGCCTTGAACTCACTATGTAGCCCGGCTTGGCCTTGAACTCACCGTGATCCTCTTGCCTCAGCTTCCTGAGTGCTGGGATTACAGCACTCAGGCTTGATTTTTTTGAAGTAGGCATTGATTGCTATAAACTTCCCTCTTAGTACATTTTTTTTTTTTGATGTATTGTATCTCCATTTGTTTGAAGAAATTTTTAATGTCCTTAATTTCACTTTTGACCCGTTGGTTGTCCAAGAGTAAGTTCTTGCTGGGTGTGGTGGTGCACCCTTATGATCCCAGCACTTGGGAGATTGAAACAGGAGCTTCACCATGAGTTTGAGGCCAGCGTGGGCTACATAGTGAATTCAAGTCTGAACTACAAAGTAAGACCTTGGCTCAAAAATAAAAGAGAGTAAGTTGCTTATTTTCCATGTCTTTGTATAGTTTCAAAGTTTTTATTAATTTCTAGTTTTATTGCATTATTATTTGAAAAGATAGTATAATTTCAAATTGTCTTCTTTTTTTCAGTGCTGGGGGTTGTATACATGGTAAGCGAGTGTTGTATTACTGAGCCACATCCTCAGTCCACAGTTCCACTTTTAAACAATTTGTTGAAACTAATTTTGTGGCCTGTCGTATGACCTATATTGGGTAATATTCCATGTGTTGATGAGAATATATATCTTGAAGATGTGGGATGGAGTGTTCTGCAGAGGTCTGTTAGGTCCATTTGGTCTAGTATGCAATTTAACTCTTGTTTCTTGGTTGACTTTCAGTCTGGATGATTTGTTCATTGCTTAAGATGGGGTCCTCTGCTATTACTGGCTCATTGTATGTCTGTCTTACAACATTTGCTTTATGTTTTTGGGTGCTTTGGTAGTGGTTGAATATAATATTTAGAATACTTATTTCCTGTTATTGAATTGATCCTTTTCTCATTACATACTGATTCTCCTTGTCTCTTTGCATGTTTTTAAAGCCTATTTTATTAATTATGGGTACTGCTGTTTCATTTTTTGGGTTTCATTTACATAGAACACTGTATCTTATTCTATCCTTTCACTTGCATTCTGTGTATGTCCTTAGAGATGAAGTTAATATCTTATAAACAACTTATAGATGGGTCTTATATTTTTGTATAATCAGTCACTCTATGTCTTTTAAGTGTACAATTGAATCCACTTACATTTAATGTAATTTATTGTATCTAAAATAATTAAAGTGCTGTTTGGACACTCTTCTTATGTGTCATATAGTCCTGAACTGTTATAGCAAATGTGCCACATTTCTCCTTTATTATCATACATGTGTTTTATCAGCTAAAGTCCAGGAAGAGATTGACCGAGTGATTGGCAGACAGCGGAGCCCCTGCATGCAGGACAGGAGCCACATGCCCTACACAGATGCGGTGGTGCACGAGATCCAGAGGTACATTGACCTCATCCCTAACAACTTGCCTCATGCAGTGACTCGTGATATTAAATTTAGAGACTACTTCTTACCCAAAGTAAGTTTGTTTGTCTGAAACTGTACCTCAGTGCTCTTGAAGTTCACAAATTCATGATATAGGTCCAGTTCTCGACCAACACAAGATGAGAGAAGTGCAAAGCTCACATGTGTGGTAGTTCAATGGTCTTTGTGCTGTTTTCCGATTGGGGTATAAAGCTTTGTAACAGAGCCTGATTTGTGTCTTCCAAGTTTTTTCTAAATAGTTGATAATATTTTGGCTACCCTTAAGTTTTTACATTTTTTAATAAATATTAAAAGTACAAGTTTGCAAAACTTTTTACATGTTTCTTTATTTTACTAAATGAATTATAAAAAATTAGTGTGCTAGTTCATCTGTATGTTTGTCAGACTGACACTAAGTCTATAGAGCAATTTGGAAATCCCCTTGATATGCTGAGTCTCTCAGTTCACAGATACAGTTATGCTCCCAATGTATTTGGGCTTTCTTTAATTTTCTTCATATTGTTTGTTTTTAGGGCAGTAGCTTACATACCTGTTATTTTTGTCCTAAACAGATGGATGTTAATATACATTTTATATATATATATATATATATATATATATATATATATATATATAAAATACATTTCCCATTTCTTTGTTTCTGACATATAATGATTTAATTTACATTTTGATGACTTTATATCTAGAGACCTTGTTAAATTCACTTATTGATGAAGTTTGTAGATTCACCAGTAATTTCTGTGTACACAATTCTGCAGTATCATTTATTAGTTTTATTTACTTTACTCTGTTATTTTTATGCTTTTTGCATCATGAAGGTATGCTTAATTTGGGCAAATGGATTTTTCTACAGCTATTGATATGGTCTTATATTTGGTTTGCCTATATGTAACATAAATATATATGCTCTGTGGGTATAAGTTTTTAGGTATAGACATGCACACATACAGAGAAACAGCTGAGTCTAATTTGCTACACTTTGCTCAGGATATTTGTATTTACAAAAGATATTGGTCTCCAAAATTTTTTTCTTAAAATTTTCTTTTCAAATTTCCGATATGAGGGCAGTGATAGCCACATATGCTTTTTGCAACATATTGTATTATTTTATTGTTAAACTGAAGAACAGGCTAGATAAAAGAAAATTTAGAGAAGAAAAAAATGTAAGCGTCCAGAAAGTTTGGGGCAATATGTGCAGTCATGTAACTGCCCTACATTCAAAGTGTAAAACATTTCCATCAGCTGTTCTCTGTGACTTTTTAAGTAGCAGAATGTACTTGAGATTCATTTTTGTGATTGTGTGTATTGCACTGTGAGAGTTTGTTCTCTTTTGTGCTTGAGTAGGATTCCATGACAAGGAGTAGCATATATTAGTTATCTGTTCACTGATTGGTAGATATTTAGGATATTTCCAGTTTTTGATTGTTTGAATAAAGGTTCTATGAACATTCTCATACTGCTTCTTGTGGGGACATAAATTTACCTTTCATTGAGGAAGTACCTGGAAGTGGGATTGCTGTGTAGGTATTAACTTTATGTCAAGCCACCAAATTAATTTTAATATGGCTGTGCCATTTGACATTTCAACTAGCAGTGTGTGAAGTGCTGCTTGTTTCAGGCATCCTCCTCCTCTTGCCACTGTTAGTATTTTTCTATTTGGCCACTGCAGTGGTTGTGTAGTTCTATCATGTTTGTTTTAACTTCTTTCTTGATAGATAGTGATGTTTGACTACTTTTCATGTATCCATTGGCCATTTATGTGGTTTCTTTGGAAATGTGTCTGCTTAAATTATATGTCTATTTTTTTAATTTTAAAAATAAAAGGAGGAAAACATTAACAGACAGACAACATTTTACAAAATAACAAAGGAACAGTACAGACAGTACGGAGTTACAGACAAAGTGATAGGGAATTAACAATGCTTGTTGCATTACATATTGATATCTTCAAAGTGGTTTCTCATGAAAACAGATATAGACTATATGTCTATTTTTAATTGGGTTGTTTGTATTCCTGTTATTTGCTTAACTCTTTATATATTTTGTGTATAAGGTCTTTATTATAAATAAGATTTATAAGTATTCACTGCCAGTTGAAGGCTTTTCTTCTCTTTTTTCTTCTTTAGGCAGGGTCTTGCTATATAGTTCAGGTTGGCCTTCACCTCACTGTGTAGCCCAGGCTGACCTCAGACCTATAGAGATCCTCTTGCCTCAGCCTCCTGACCACTGGGATTACAGGAGTGCCCCACCCTGCCCAGCATATTTTTATTTTCAACATTTTTAAAGAATGTCTTTCAAAGAGAAGAAGCTTTAAATTTTGATGGATTCCACTTCATCTCTTTCTTTTGTGGTTTATGTGCTTGTTTCCTATGTAAAATACTATTGCCTGCACAGAGTCCTATATATATATACTCTTAACTATTTTTCTTAAAGTTTTATAGTTATAGGTTTTATATTAAGGTCTGTGTTTCATTAAAAGTTTGTTTTTATTTTTTATGTAATGATATCATTCATTTCTTTATGAATGTGCAGCTCCAGTATAATTTGCTAAAAAATACCTTCTTTTGTATCTTAAAGTAACATTTTCACATAATTTTGAAAATACTCAAAAAACAGAAATTTAAACAACATGTGAAGGTGTTTTAAAAGCAGAATTGTAGACCTTATAATATGAGTTCTCAATCAACATAATTGTTTTTAAAGAAAGGATCTTGCTATAGTCTGGGCTTCCTTCAACTCACTATGTATGTGTCCCAGGCTGGCCACAGGGACACTACCCTGCTGTATCAGCTTCCCCCATGCTGAGGTTACAGGCATGCATCACTATGCCAGGCTTATTTCCTCCTCCAACTCAAAAATATTTAAACTTTAGAAATGGATATGTGTGTGCATATAACATATGAATATGTATTTATATCAGCTGCCTACCTATCGAATCTATCTCACTTAACATCTAAGTATTTTCATAATGTATCTTCCAAGAACAAGGACTCTGTGCTGTGTAACAAATACATTCACACTCAAGGCATTGCTAATATAATTTTATCCAATAGATAACTTATAATTACATTTTATCAGTTATCCTAAAATATCTTTTATAGCTTTTGGGAGGTAACTCCCCATAGCTCAATGAAGGAATAATTATGTAATTTTGTTATCTTGTGCCTTTAGTTCCCTGTGATCAAGAACACTTACTCAGTTTTTCATTTCATTATACTGATACTTCTGAAGAGCTAAAGTCACTTGTTATATAAAATATTCTTCAGTCTAGTTTTGTACGTGTTCTTTGAAATGAGGGTCTACTTGTGTATTTTAGGCAAGAACATTGCATAGGGGATGTTTTGTGTATCTCACTGTATCACATTGTGGCTAGAGATATATAATGTCTGTTCCATTATTGGTGATGCTGAGGTTTGTGCATAGTAAGGGGTTGTTGGCTAGATCTTTCCATTTCTGAGGTTCTATTTTCCAGATAAAAATACTAAAAATCTGTAGAATAGTACCATAAAACCCTTTGAATATTCTGTTTCCCAAATGATTCACCCAGCAATTTAACACCAACTGATGATGCTTATCTGAATTCATGATACTACCTGGATTTTTGCAAAATGATGATTTTTTTTTTGTATTTTTTCATCCCTGCTGCCTTATAAAGGTAGGATTCATCTGTGATGACTTCCTTCACATTTTTCAGTTAATGAAAATACTGGATCCTAATGATAAGCCCTCAATATATGTTAGTGTACTTAATATCATCTCAGAATTTATCTGTCATTAGATGAATCTCCATTAATAAAGAAACCCAAATGAAAGAATTCTAAATATGTCTGACTTTTTATAATTGAGCCCAGGCTTCTGTTTTAAACCCTAATCCCTGTACAAGGTGTGTAAAAACTGAAGAGGTGAAATAGAACAGCAGGTGGGACAGGCATGGAATTCCTAGCATGGTAATAATTAGAGCAGATTCTGAAATTTTGCACCCAAATTCTATAAACTAGTTTTTCAGTTGCTAATGAAGATAACAATAGTAAAATCACTACTCCAAGGCTTGGTCTTAAACTCATTCCTATTTCTACTTGGTCTGTCTGTCTGGAAATATTATTGTTCTTTTTTGGATCTGATCTTCCTCATCTGTAGGTCAAAGAGATTAGATCAGTTGAGTTTCATCGTTTCTTTCTGCCTGACTTTATAACTCATTTTATCTGTCATATCCAGGGCACAACCATAATAACATCACTGACTTCTGTGCTGCACTATGACAAAGAATTCCCAAACCCAGAGATATTTGACCCTGGCCACTTCCTGGATGAGAGCGGCAACTTTAAGAAAAGTGACTACTTCATGCCTTTCTCGACGGGTAATTGAAATTCATTTCCATATATGCTTTGAGGGGACAGATGAGCTGACCCATAGCAGACTTGGAGCAAGGAGAGTAGAGAAGGCAGGGTACTTTACAGAGGTAATGAAGGGCAGGAGAGGATATTTTCTGTAGTTGTAGGGGTCAGATCCTGGCAACAAAGCAGGATGAGAAGAACTTTGAGAATATGGAAGCCTATCCTGCAGTGATCCCAGAGCACATGGATGTTCATCCACTCATGCTCAGGCATCTTGGATATGCGGTCTCACTGCTAAATAGTGTGTGCTAATACACGTGGAGCTGCCTTCGTTTTTTTTTGCTGTAGTTGTGATACCTATGTTGCATCTGGTACTGTGCTTATCAAGGTGTCAAAGACTGAACTCTTCTTTTAAAGAATCCATTTTGGCAGAGATGAAAAAGTAACAGAGAATAGGGTGCAAGGTGCTTCATGTTTCTGAGTAGTATGAATATAAGGAGGCAATCAGAGAGAGTGAGACCCCCCTGAAAGGGGTCACAAAGATCCTAAGGAGGAAATGACATAAGATATAGGTTCTGAAGGAAAAATAAGAGCAGTGCTTCTTAGCCAACTGGGACAGCGTAGATGAAGCTGGAAGCATCGTGGTGTTGGGGACTGAAGAAGAATGAACATGTCAAGAGCTGAGAGTAAAGAGTGTGAGGAATAGAAGGAGTGATATTGAACATCAGACAGGGAACAGTATGTGGAGGTCCAGGCCAAGCCAATTGGACCTTTTCTCCTAAGACAGAGAGGAGAGCCTCTCAAAGTTTTAAAGTGAGGGAGTGGCATGTATTGAGAGGTGATTTTGAAATTATGCTTGGGAAAAAGAATCTTTGGTTGAGTACTTTGCCTGAGGTACAAACAGAAGCAATATATGAGCTTCCTTCTCTGAGCCCTTCTCCATTCAGCCCACAGGATGAAAATGTGAGTGTGTTTTTAGAAAAAGGTTTTATGTAAATGTGAAATTTTATAGTGGGATACCTAGTGAAGAAGTGTGTTGTAGAGCTTCCCAATAAATAGTTGGTGAATGAAAGGTGCTTGACGGAATAGGATAATTAGGTAGGTAGCACGTGTGCCTCATCTTCTGTGCATCTGTCTAAACATTCTTCCAGCCATCTTGTGTGATCTACCCAACTAATTATTCATTGATCACATTCATTACATGCTTTTTCCTGACAGTTTAAAGCATTTTAAGGAACAAATCTGTATTTCTTATTTTTAGGAAAACGTATGTGTGCAGGAGAGGGTCTGGCTCACATGGAGCTGTTTTTGTTTCTGACCACCATTTTACAGAATTTTAACTTGAAGCCTCTGGTTGACCCAAAGGACATTGATACTACCCCAGTTGCCAGTGGGTTTGGCCATGTGCCACCTTTCTACCAGCTCTGCTTCATTCCTGTCTGAAGAGTGGCAGGTGTTCTGCTATTGCTGTGCTGTCACCAAGCAGCTTCTCCCAAATGGGAGCATCGCCCACCTTTTTCCACCATCAAGAATACCCTGTCTCAGTTTTCCTCTTGCAACTTGTCATTCCCTCAAGATCCTCATCCAATCTTCATTAAGGAGAATTTTCTGAATCACTGCACAAATATATCTGCATTTCCTACATTCTGTGACACTTATATTGATTACCACAAATGCCCAATGTCTAATTTACCTAATGCCATTACTAGTATGTTCTTGTTGTAAGGCAGCAAAATAATTTGTGTATGACAATTCAGAGCCATATATTCCCATTGTGAATAAAAAGCAATATTAATTGATGGACCAGTTCTCATAGTTTCTTTCTTTTCTGCATACTGTAGGTGTTGTAGTCAGAGTTTGCAAGGAATAGATATAATACAGGATATATAATTTATAGGAATATTTTATAATATTAACCCAAAAAGTCAAATGCAGAGGAGTGCAAGAGATCTGTCCACACACTATAGACCCAAAGAACCCAGCTGAGGGCCTGGATTCCACGGCCATGTCCTGCATGAGTTGAGCTGAAGACTAGAGCCCATGGCAGTGTCCTCCAAGAGTCCAGATGTAGGCCTAGAGACCACGAAATGTCGCATGCAAGTCTATACCAAGGATTTGCACTGGGAAGGCCCAAAGGTGAGTGGTGGAAGCTAGAAAGTCTGTGCCAGTAGGGTGAAGGATCTGTGCCAGCAGGCTGAGGGATCTGCACCAGAGCCAGGAAGGACACTCAAGATAAGGACCAGAGCTTCCCTGAAGAGAACAGGAGCCATCCTTAGTGACAGTGAAGACCCATCTCCTCTGATGATGAGGACAGCTGAGTTCATATCAGGAAAACCAGCGCGACAGGCTTCTCCAGGAGAATCAACAGCACACCATCTTCCCCTCCAGTTCTCCTTTTATTTTGTTGGCAAAGGTCCTCAGGTGGGTCTTTCACATCCAAAAACATGCTGACTCACTTCAGCTGGGTGTTCAAAGTTGACCATTAGTTTACCACCCTAGGTAAGAACCAAAACAAGTAGTTTCACTGGTGCTCGTGGCTCATAATGATCTACGTGAAAAAGGACCAAAGAGAAGAAAAAAGCTTTTTTTAAAGTTCTGGGGAATGAACCCATGTCCTTACACAGCCTAGGCAAAGAAAAATTCTAGCTGGGTTTGGTGGTGTACACCACACCTGTAGTTCCAGCACTCAGAAACTGAGACAGGAGGATTGCTGTGAATTCTAGTCCAACCTGGGCTACATAGTGAGTTCAAGGTCAGCCTGAATTATATAGTGAGATCCTGTTTCAAAAAACCAATAAAAAATTCTGATACATGTTGACATAGATGAAATTTGAAAATCCTATGTAAAGCCAAATTAACTAGTTATAGAAAGATACTTTGTGATTGCACTTATTTGAATTATGTAGAATGAAAAATTCATAGAACAGAACACTTCTTTTGGTAATTATATGGAGGGTTGTCAGGGAAAGAAGTCTGTTGAGAATTGGGAGTTATTTTTGTTTTGTTTTGGTGACAGGTCTTGCAGTTGAGTTCAAGCAGGCCTTGGATGTACTATGTAGCCCATGCTAGTCTTGTACTCCTAGCAATCCTTTTGCCTCAGCCGCCTGAGTGCTGGGATTACAGGTGTGCACCACCACACTTGGCTTAGGAGTTACTGTTTAATGTTAGAAAGTTCAGCTTTGCAATTTGAAAAGAATTCTGAAAATGGTAGTATTGTTTGCATGATAATGTGAATGTACTTAATGCTACTAAATTGTATCTAAGGATTAAACTAGTAAATTTTACATTATTATATATATTACCACAATTAAAAAATAGTGTTCACCTTTCATATATACTATTTTTATGATTTTGTGCTACAGTTTGAATCTGGAATCTTTTCTTTTCTCCTTTTCTTTTTTGGAGACAGGGTCTTGCTATGTAGTTCAGGCTGGCCTTGAACTCATTTGTAGTCCAGGCTGGCCTCAAACTTCTGGTGATCCTCCTTCCTCAGCCTCCCAAGTGCAGGCATGCATCACCATGTCTGGCAGGAATGTTTTCAAAGGCTGATGTGGGAAAGGCTTGGTCCCCAGCACAAGGTTCTGTTGGGGTGTGTGTGTGTGTGTGTGCGTGTGTGTGTGCATGTGTGTGTGTGTGTGTGTGAGTGGCTAGTATGAGCTCTTAGGTCATAGGAAGGTATGCCGTAAGGGGTTTGTGGGGCCTCATGCTCTGTCTGTCCCAGTCGAACCATGTGGTAGCTTAGTTTTGCTCTACCACTACTTACCACCACAAGACTGCAGACAGTGAGGCTAATTGATTATGAAGTGAAACATCTGAAACTGTGAGCCCAAATCCCTTTCTTCTTCCCTCCCTCCCTCCTTCCCTTCTTCTTTTTCTCTCTCCTCCTCACCCTTTCTTTCTCTTTGTCTGTCTTTCTGTCTCTGTGTGCCTCTGTCTCTCTCTCTCAATCTCTCTGTCTCTTCTTTTTTGCAGTACTGGAGATGGAATCCAGAGGCTTTCTACCACTGAGCTAACCTTTTTATATGTATTTATTTAATTTTGGTACCAGGAATTGAACTCAGGACCTTGCACTTGCCAGGCAGGTGCTTGTGCTGCTAAGCTGTATATCCCTGGCCCTATTTTTATTTTTTTGAGATAAGGTCTCATCCATAGCCCTTTCTATTTTTATTTTTTGAGATAAGGTCTCACTAAGTTAGTGAGCCTCATCAAGTTGGAACTCAAACTTGTATGTCTTTTACTCATCCTCCCTCAGTGCTGGGATTCCTGGTGTGTGTATAGCCAAAATCTTTCTTTATAGATTATTTTGGGTATTTTGGTATAGCAAGCTGACTAACACTTCCAAGCTGTAAAATAGAATAAGAATATCTGAAATGATTTTGTTTAAGAGAGCAGACCTGAAAATTATAATACAATTTATATTGAAAGGAACATTACTCTGTATCGTATTGCTCTAATCCAAGAAGACATTGGTGTCTTGGCTGAGCAGATGGCTGATTTTGATTTTCATCCTCAGACACAGGATGTTTGCAATTCTTTCAAACAGTGAGGGGCATGGAGTCCAGTGGGACTACACTTAGAGGGCAGGGTGCTCACAAAGACTGTTTATCCTTAGCCCTTGCCCTCAGGACCCTGTATCTTCCCAGAGATTGGATTCTAAGAGACTAGAGACTCAGATTCAGATTGGGGCAAGGAAGAACCTCCCTTTTTTGATCTTGGAAACGACCCTTTTAAAGTCAGGCCAAATGTAGATTTGGGAATGAATCAGGGGGACATAATGGCAAACCAGGGGAGGGTCTCAAGAGAATGGCAAGGTGCTCTCCTGTCTCAGGAGAAAGCAGCAGCCTGTCACAGAGATCAGGGGCTGGATACTCCTTGCCAGATGCTCCTGGAGATCATCAACTGCCTGAAAATTCACATCTGGAAGCTCTAGTTTAACCATAGTTGGTAGTTCTTTGTCTTCTATCTGCACATCTTTTCCTTAAATTAAGTTTCTTTCAGTCTTTCCCAACCCTTCAACAAATAA